CTTTTTAACCCAGGGGAGCAAACTCAAGGCACTTTTTAACCCAGGGAAGCAAACTCAAAGCACTTGATGTATGCCTCCGTGTTGCGTCTGAGGCCTGTGTGTAGATAAATGGATGCATAAGATCGCTATCACAAGTGATCACTCAAAAAAATCATGATGTTAGCTTGATTTATTAACTGTTTCCAATTCCTCTGCACTGTCCTCAGATTGACACGTAAACACGCTGAAATGTTCGTCCGGCGCGAACGCTAAGCAGTACATCATGTCGTTTTCAAATTTGCCGAATTTCTGATTCCGTCATGGTGCTCTTTGTATCACAGATGGTGCCCAACTAACCATAATATACTGTGCAGTCGATAAAACCAAAACAAACAGCGCGCATGCGCGAAATTAAAAATATATTATGACAATTTACCCATCGCACACTGCATATCGAACAGGTTTTCTCAGCATATATTTAGAAGTCACAGTCTTTCATCTGCGAAAGGAAACATTATGAATATTATGATGTGGTGTGCAAGTACGCCATTATTCCATTGAGTCTTTGGAAAACTTTACCTCTGAATCATTCCGCCAATATTAATCCACTTTAATTTTTTTTAATTTTTTCAACATATACATTTGCTAATAAATGGCTTTCTTTTTCTTCCAACTGCAGTTTCTAACAGCTCAATCTAATATAGTGATCATTCCTCCCTTTTTGTATTTAATTTAAAATGTAAGAATTTCATGATAAATTATTTTTTTTATTATTTCCTCATACTGCACAGAGAATGCATCGTTGACAATATGGAAAACATTGCATCACGTATTATAGCCATCATTTTCTAAACATTACTTGGCCAATCCAAACTACTTGTAATTGATAAAATAATTGGATTTTTCGGTTGATGGATATTCGATTAAAATAATATTCCTCCGATATAATTCATTTTATTAATTTTGTCGGAATCCTTTAATTTTGACTCAAAACGAGAAAACGATCGGCAGGAACATGGTTATTTTCACTGACTTATGAGATCAGTGTGGATACTACGATAGAAAGACGAAAGTTTTAAAATTATATTCGTCTATCACTGGACCATCGTTCGTCTATTTGGCTTTCTCCAAATGTGCCAGGTCAAGTTACATTAAAGAGAAAAGAGAAAATATTATAGTCATGTATAAATTTTTCTGAATTGTTTTATTTTTACAGTACGTTTCACTTTTATAATGTCTGTGGAGCACTGGACGTACAGGGTTATGTCAGGAGGACATTTGTGTGTATTAAAGTGGAAAATAACTGTTAACTCTAGCCAAAGTTGGCGGGTAGAAGCTGCTCGAGTGGAACTTACTTCTCACCGATGGAACACGGAGAAATTTTGGGTGGTTTGCAACGATGTAAGTGTCATGGCGTGTTCTTGCTCCGAAGGATTGTCATGGCGGTAACGAAGAATGAAATTAGTTCGAGCACTTTCCGTTGAATTTGCGGTAGAGCTAAGATAGGCTTGCCACATCCCACCTGTTGGACTGTGGAGAATAATTCGTCACCCACAAGGGCCCGGAGACGCTTTTGGACTCTATCACATATTACAACAGTACTCAATGTTGGGCCTGATTTGGCTCTTTTAAATGTAGAGGATAGAGGGAGATGTCAGGTACTTACTGGGGCGGCAATGGAAGCCGACCATTTTAACTGCACCCTTAGCAATGGAGAGGTCGGTTGTGAAATTTTGGTCCAATAATCTTTCCAGGCACGGTGCTTCCCCGCGATGACATCCGTCCAATGATATTGGTGGTAGCTCTGGATCAGAATAACGATGATGGAATGCAGCTAGCTTGGTTTTTGAGGCATTGAATGCAACTAGGGATTTTTTACACATTGGGTAGTTTGACCAAGATCGAAGGAGTGATCAATTGCCAATCCTTGACCATCGAGAGTATTTAAGATGGTCCCGTATATAGTCGTATGATCGGAATTGTTGTTTACAAATAATCTAAGTATATTCTTAGGTAGATCATTTATGGAGATCAAAAAATGTCGGATGACTGGCCATAGGGACCTACATTTAAAAAAAAATATGATCGAGAAAACACTTCTAGTGATTCCATCACTGGGGAGCTTGTGTAGTAAAACTTTGTGCCATACCTTGTCGAAGGACTTTGAGATATCTAATGCTATGGTCCTCGTGGTGTATTTTCTGTCAAGAACCTCTATTATTTTGTGAGTAATGGTAGTTAGGAGGTCAGCCGTAAATAGGGCCAACAGAAACCCATGGTACTCATCGCTGAAGTGGTTGTTCTTTTATAGGTGCTCAACGATATTTTATTGATTATGACCTTAAAAAGATCAGTCATGATACTAAGAAGAATGGGTCTGCACTGGGAGGGGGAAGATCGTACCCATGTGTGCTTAAATTCGAGCATACGCCTGTCAACTTCCACAGGACTGGGAATGATTTCTGCTTCAAGATGCGGTTGAATAAGTTCACTAGGTTTGGGGATAATCCCGGGTTGATATACACGAGGAAAACCATTGGAATTTTGTCTGGGTCAGTGGCTTTCTTAGGGTCAAGTTCTTTGATAAGTCTAGAGATTTCTCGTGCTGTAATGGTAATATTACTGAGATTGTGCTCAGTGAGATGTGGGAAGTCGGGGAAGGAATGGTCCTTGTTGTCTAACGTTGAATTAGAGACAAAGACCGAGAGGAATAGGTTCGCCTTATCTGTTGAGGAAGACATGACATCGAAACCATTTATAACTGTGGGCACAACCGCTTTACCTCTGTTTATGATTTGCTTGGTGGTCTTCTATCATAACATAGCGAAAAATCATTCTACGGAACGGTACATCAGGGGACACCTTAGGTGCATAAATCTGGACACTGATTAGGGAATGTTTGATGTGCCTTGGAGAGCTAAAACTTTTGCTAAGGATGTATCAGAGAATCAAGTTAGAAAGATGTTAGGCTATGGAGAAATCTCAGCAATATCCTTCTTCACCATCGGTTTTGTTGGAGAGGACTAAGCATTTTTTATGGTGGATATTGAAGTCACCGCAAATAAAACACCGACCAAGGGAAATTGAGTAAGGATATTATGTATCTTCTCATATATTCGGTCGATGACTACCGTTCCTTCGTCCTGGGGGCGATAGAGAGAATAGACGAATGTGGTACCATGGATAACTGAGCTCCCCTGGTGCTCTTGAAGAGCTGATACCGTAACACGTGGTCTGCTTTGATTATCATTTACTTCTGTAAATGTGGAAGTAAGTAGACTCATAATGTTGGTACTACTTTTTTTTTGTTTTGTTTAGGTTGACATAGTTTGTTAATTTCCATCTTGATTGGTTTCTTGTGTGTATTGGTTGGTGGAAGACTAGTAGTTAATGAAACATCTTCAACCGTAGAAGCTGCATGTATAAATAACTAATCGTCTAGAAATACAGGGGTAGCAGTACCTTTCATTAGTGCACCGAGAGGCTCCATAGCAGATTACTGCACAGTCCAGAAACCATTCACAAAATTACAATACAATAACCCAATTATACAACTGCTAATAGGAGAGACTCCTTCGGAGTTATTCGAAGTTTCGGATCGATAACTATCATGCAAATAACGCACAAACCTAGATAACGTCCACCTCCAGCATCCTCAATGAAAGGACAAACAGCCTAGGAAAGAAGATACATGCGTGATGTTCCGAGTGAACATGTCGCGTCTGCCCAGAAATCAAGGCAACAGAATTCCTCCTTTGGTCAGAAACATCGTACGAGTCCGAGGTCTAAAGGTCGCGAAAGTACTTGTGGACTAAAATACCCATTGAGAAAAAGGAGTGTGTAATGAAAGTTGCTCGGATGTGTGTGTACATTTTCCACCGCCATTTGAATTAGTATAGTAAATGGTAAATTGGCGGGGACTTGGAATGGGCAAGTTATTTATCTAAAAAATCAGGTTTACAAAAGAGAAGCATAACGGATCAGAAGTAGGATTATGGACAAGGCGTGTGAAATAGTTATAAAGTTTTAAATTAATATATGTCCAAATATTTACTTTTTAAAATTTGACAGACTCCATCGCTCAGTAATCCACGCTGGGAAAACTTTCATTGAATACAAGAACCTCAAGAATTAATAATAAATTAATGTGCAAGTAAATTATGCAGACATTAGCATGTGCATATATATATATATATATATATATATATATATATATATATATATATATATATATATATATATATATATACAAAATATTAAGAGAAGTTTTTAAAACAAAGAAAAATAAAAAAAAATATTAAGAAATAAAATAAATGCACGTAGTAAGGTGAAAGATAATGTTAAATTTCACAAAAATGATCATAATTACCACCACTAAGACAGGCGCTCATAAACTGAACTCCCTTCCTTTTCTTAGCCTCATACATACTATACTGTAATTCTCTACCATCAGGTCTCTCTGGCCTTGTTTTGTTTTGGGAATAAACAATACTATTAAAAATAATCTCTAAATTGTAAGTCTCTATGATCGGTCTATGTTAAATGCACCGTTTAATTTATCCTTTGTTGTATTTACAATTGATAGTCATTTTGACAGAGAATTACACAAGCAATGCAAAAAATCTTAGTAAGCCTTACTATTTTCTTCAAAGCTAAGAAAATAAAAGACGGAATCGTAGTTTTTCAATAGAATTAGCACGAATTGGAACTCTGCCAGGTAACTGTTACGCCACTACCGACATCTCTACTTATCATTACATTAAGTATATAAAAACATGACTGGACTGAGATTTGGGGATTTTAAGAGACGTGATGCCATTCGATTTGCAGTGATAACCACTAGAAATCGCTAATACAAACAACATAATAACACGTAGCATATTTAAAAAAAATGATATAATTGAAAAAGAAATCCTCAAGGAAAAAGCTAATCTGAAAGGCGACGGAATTATCCCAAATTTGAACACAATTTATGATGACAGTCGTGTTTTCAGTTCCCTCTTGTCAAGATTGACCATCATATGAATATTCATATTCCTGATAACATTGGTCTCTTTTCTTTATACTGTCTCTGGTGTATAGCAAAATTCTTCACGAGCTTCAACGAAATTCATTGCAAGCCGCACATATGATAGCGAAATAAATGTTTTCTCTTCCATATTCTAATTTCTCTACAACTTGGCTCGATTCTACATGGCTTTTAATGAGAAATCTATTTAATGTTCGAGATATTTTCTGCAGCATAAACAATTGCAATAATATACAGGTTTCGAGAGCTCAGAAGCTAAGAACACATAATTCCGGCCGGCTTCCTATTTCAACGTTATTTGGATTAAAACTTGAAAATTTAAAATGTGAAAAACTCCAAATAAATTGTGCTATTGAAATAATAAAGAAACGAGAACACAACCCAGTGCGTAAGAAATGAAGTATAAAGACAAATAAACAACAATAAATAATCAGCCACAATTTTTAAGATCTAATTGTGTTTATATGTTCATCAGATTTTGAAAATTAAATCAAGCCTAATAAATTGAGTGTTCAATCAAACATCACTGTCAATGAAACTGAAAATTAAACGTAAAGTTCTATCAAAAAGAAGTTCAAAGTTTGGTTGCCGGCTATATTTGAACGTCCAAAGGAGAAAACTTCCTCTACCTCTCCACATATTTATCAACCTATATTTTCTTTATGTTTGGGAAATAAAAGTGATGCCCATAACAATTATTTTCATGTTTGTTTTAAATTCGCATTTGGTTTTATCTATCGTTAATACGATTAAACCGATACACACGTATATATATATATATATATATATACGTGTGTATATATATATATATATATATATATATATATATATATATATATATATATATATATAAAAACACATGTATACATCAAGTGCTCCAGACCAACTAAAATCTTCAGCTGAGCACTGTGCAAAGTTTTGGCCCATTAAACTCAGTACATCTCCACACGGCAGTTTAGCCTCAACCAACACTCTTCACTTCCTTGAGCCCTTCGACCTGGTCTTCTGCCTTGTGTCAGTCACACCTTGCTTCAGGAAGGAAATCCTTCGCAGGTCCGTCGAGGGTATACTAGCACTTCTCGCAGCTGCTGCCACGACCTCCAGAACAAAGTTATGTCTGAAGGTGTACCAGCTGTTCTGTAACACAGTATCACATTAAGGGGCGCAGGTTTCCATAAGCACCACACAACCGACAGGAGAGTGACTCCTGCACTTCTCATCTCTTCAAATTTGCCGGTGATGATGCCACATCATATGCTGCCTGTATGAGGGACCTCAAATGTCCTGCACTGAGACGCCACCAATCAGACTAACTGATCTGAAAACCCTCAATACCTTTCCAGTTGAGCCATCGACCCTGCTGAGACTGCTGCACAGTCCGTATTAAACGTCTACCCTCCTCGAGCTTCAGAACCTCTTGTTCCTGTAACTTGCACTGCCTCTGTCTACTGGCCTCTGACCAGAATCTCCCCGTCTCAACTAGATGAAGTCCAGCACGTCCCTTCCTTGTAACACCCTGAACTTCTAACTGCTTTAACATCACTTACACTGCTGACATCACGCTTGTCACTTTCCACTTTCTTCCTGTCTTCATCCGGCAAATTCAACCGGATTACAGTATCTCTAGATTCACACAGAATGGACTGCAATTTCACCTTTGCCGCCTTGTACTCCTCCACCAGAGAAGTAATAGGTGACTGAAGGCCCTCCGAGCTGCCATACAAACAACAAGCGACAGAATCCTTGCAACACCAAGCCATTCCCGTGTGCATTTACTGATTTTCCTCTCAATTATCTCAACTCGAGACAGTGTCACCTCATATATAGTTAGTGGCCACATTAGTCTCGGCATCAATCCAAAATGCATACGCCAAACTTTAAATATCCCGGGAAGTCCTCATTGCTCTATTCTTCGCAGACCCACCTCTGCTTGTCGCTGGATTTCAATCCCACGGCGACGATCTGTCTCAGGGAAGTTATACAAATTCCCAAGACTCTTCACACCTTGCTCCCGCACTGTCGGTATCCTTTCACCTGCGATGGAAAACAATTCATGTACGACAGAACCCCGCTTCATAGACAGTGATTTGAATGCCATCTGTCTCCACCCTACCAATTCTGCAAGTCTATCCAGAACCAACTGTATTGCTTTCCTATCATCTTGAATTATTGTTAAATCATCCATAAATGCCCGGGTTTTGACATTATTCTGCAGGAAGTGGTACTCTGACGTTAAACCTCTCAAGATCACCTCCATCACCATCACAAACAGTACTGAAGAGATGGCACATCCCATAGCAATTCCCCTCTTCAGCACCACATACATTGTAGTGTACTTCATCATTGAAAAACGTAGAATGAACTGATTGAAATACATAGCTAGACAATCCCTGAGTCTCTGCGGAACGTTGAAGAACTCCAAGGCCAGCTGTATCATGCTATGCGGAACTGAAACATACGCATTAGCAAGATCCAGCCAGATATACGTGAATATGCTTCCTTTTAGTTTTAGCCTCGCGGTTCTTCATTCATTGACACATGTTCCAAGTCCGCCGGAAACCCCGGGACACCTGACTTTTGAATACTAGTGTTTATATAGTTATTCCCAAGCAGGTAGCACGTCAGCCTCCTAGCATGCACTTTAAAGAACACCTTTCCTCTTCAACATACACGAGAGATATTGGGAGAAAATGACTAAGTGTTAACGAATTCTCCTCTTTCGGAATATACACACCATCAGCTTGAGACCAACAGTCCGGAACATCGCCAACTTCACAAATCTTCCCAAGAAGCCTCTCCAAACACCTCAGCAGCCTGGGACACCTCTCGTAGACAGAATATGTCACACCATTAGAACCAAGCACGCTCTCGATTTACGTATAACTCTTTAGACGTCTTTCCAAGTAACTGGACACACATGAAAAGCTACTTCCGAGGCGCCAGGCCTAAATGAACGTGGCATCACTTCGCCTGGGACCTCCCTGCTGGCGTCAGAGAACGAGCTCATAAGGTTTCTCTCCAGCACCTTCTGCTCAACACTCAACGCCCCGCTAGTCTTCTCTCTAAACAACTGCTTCGTGAGGAACAGACTTTCTGTGAAGGACATCCGGGCCTTGGCTGACTCCTCTCTCTTTTCTTCAAGCCGTTCCGATTTACTTAACTTGCTAATGCGCGTCCTTACGTCCTCCAGGATTGGCTTCATTTCCTCTGCCCTCTGCTCGTCATCCCGCATTGCTGCTCGTAAACTACGCATCTCTTTCTTCAGTGACCGGATGGTTTACCGCCGCCGATTCACCTGCACTGGAGCTAAGGACTTAGCTTTCCTTTCTTTAATCCAAACCTAGTGACCTCATAGTCACTGCTCATCTCCACAAGCTGACGGACTTTCCTTCCTGGACCACCCCTGAGTGTCTAGATGACGGCTGATAAGTCTTCATTCATCTCTGACGAGGCCCTATCCACAGAGGAAAACCACTTGATAATTAAGCGACTAGATTCAGCTTCAATACATATATATATATATATATATATATATATATATATATATATATATATATATATATATATATATATATATGCAAGCATAGGATTGGTGTATACGGAATAAATTCCAATAACCAACAAATACTATTCTGAAAAGAGTGCTCAATACAGGGTAGAACAAATAAAATTATTTATTCGAAAATTATAACATAAAAATTATAAAATCATTAAAAAAATAGCCATTTTGTTTCAACACTTCTGGTGTCTTATCAAGTGATTGTGTTGTATGTAGAATAAAGAGGTTTAAAAGGTTTAAATCAATCAAACATCCCCCGCAAGGGGAAACGCTGTTACAGAAGCTGGAATGACCAATCAAAATACAAATATATGAGAATTCAAAAAACTCGGCAACGAATGCATCTACATTGTCATGAAGTTCAGAGGAGCATTAGATCTTAACGTTTATTCCAACTTAATTTCAATAAAACAAAATAAATAACAAAAAATATGCATTTTTCCCTCAGTTTCTTCTTTAAATTATTTTATAATTTTAAACTTGATATAGATTAAATTTAAAATTCAAAATTGTTAATTTGAATTTTGAATTTGATAATATAATTTAATATTTATTAGTTAGAATGAATTCTATTTTAGTCTAACCGACTAAAATGGAATTAAAACATTAAATAATTATTATAACCAAAGTTCGGATTTAATAGCGATTTTCAAGATTCAAAAGCGATACAGGTTGGAATCCTGGTTTTATTAAAATTTTCGTTTGTTAATGCGTTAGACATTAATATCACTATTTACATCACAGATATATCTACTTAAAAGTTTACCATACACACACACAGACACACGCGCGCGCGTGAGCGCGCGCACACGCACGCACATACATACATATATATATGTGTGTGTCTGTTCAATGAGGGACATAGTGCCGTATGTACTTGTTAGGGTTTAGTGAATTTATGCTAAAAAATGTTTTTCTATATTTTGACAAATTAATATTCATATAGAAATATACATATGCCTTCCATGTTGGTAGAATGTTGCATGTAGTAGGTTTTACTCAGCATGCCACCATGACTACATATAGACCAAGGTAAAAACAAAATGCCCAGTCCCCAGGACCGTGCTTAGTCGATCGTAGTATGAAGGAAATGATAGAGGATTCGACTCTGTGTCAAGGCACGAGAGACTTCGGATTGTGGACTTTCGAGAGGCTAGATATTCCTGGAGAATTTGTTTCGTATGTAATATCGGTCTACATATCTGGCTGTGAATATTCATTAATATCCTCGCAGATGAAGAAAGGACTTGAAGCAATAGAATTGTGATTCTCTTGCTGGTATTACCATGGACTGAACATGTGAGTAATGACGAAGTTTTAGGAAAAAGGAAACAAGAAGCACACTCATATTTAGAAACAGTAAAAGTTAAAATTACACACACACACACACACACACACACACACATATATATATATATATATATATATATATAAGAAGAAAGAACAGTAAGATTTATCATCGTTGTTCTTAGCAATTATTTTAATTAAAAACCGCTCGATACAAACAGTAGCATAATATAATTATTTTTTTTAAAAGAAGATTATTCTAATATATATATATATATATATATATATATATATATATATATATATATATATATTATGAATGAGTTAAGATTGATCAAATTATAATTTGTTCAATGTATTCGAGTGTTCGTGCTAGAAAACCTTACTTGCTAGATGCTTTCTTACATTATATATATATATATATATATATATATATATATATATATATATATATATATATATACTACTACGATACGTACATGCTTTGAATATTACAGCCATATCTCGTCTGTTGCTTCATATTAGAATTTAAAGATTGTTGATAAAATACAAAGAAGAATCTGCTATATTATTTGAACTGATTTGGCATCTCGGCTTCAGTCACTTTTCCATTACCGTAACGTAGCTTCACCGTGCATTTTCTTAAATTCTATAATAGTAATTGTTCTGATAAACTTTCTTCTACGGTACCTAAACATTATAATTTAAGCGCAGTACTAATTTTGCGGCATGGTCTGATCATTTTACACATCTAATGGATAGACGTAACCGTAAGTTTTATGCTAACAGTTTCTTCTCTATCATTTCTTGCATATGATAATATCTTTCTACTATTTGTTTTTCAGTCCACTTTGATCTTCAAACATTTATATGCAATGTATATCATTAGCTTTTCTTTTCTTGATTACTGTTTTCTTGTTCTCTGTTCTTAATAGACTTTTCTCATATTTTCTCACAGACACCGTTAGAGGCTTTATTACCATGCGTGGTACGAAACGATCAAATAAATTATGCAGTAAAAATAGCATTCCTTGTCAATGCAAATTATTCATTGTTGTATACAGATAGAATACATTCAGTATGCGTCGAAACCAAATATTAAATTTTATCCAAGAAACATGTTAAATGATTTATTCAGCCTTTACACAAACTACTATATATGTGTGGGGAGTATGTGTGTTTTGGACTGTTCTATCATTTATGCAAAAAGGATATTATTATGTTCTAATATATAGTATCGATCAAATTGCATCCCTTTATTCCCGCAAAAAGTCCCCTGCAAATTATTCATTACAAAACTATTTCGCAAATGCGATCCGGTCTTTAAATGCCTGATTCAACTACAGAAATAATTCATGATTACAAATGAAGATTTATATTGTTCGTATTTTACACATGCAATTGTGGAAAATACAGTTACCGTTAAAATACAAGACAAATTCTGCAGCATACAATCTGAGAAATATATGACCGAGAGACAAGAGTTAAACTATTTTCTTGAAGGATTTAAAATTGTACTATTTTTTTTAATCACCGCGACAAATATTCTTCATTCTTTATATAACTCCTGTACAATCATGATGCTCACATCATTTTAATTCTCAAAAGTATTTATCTGATTATTTTATCCCGAAAAATATTTACTTACTTTATTACCTAATTATTTGAAAGACAATAAAACATGAAAGAATATATACTTACTGTAAACTAAATGATAATGTTATTTTTAGTCTTCATTTTATAAGGTGTTTACGGGGAAATATGATCAGGTGTTTTGAAAGATATTATTGTTTACTACAGATACCAGCGACGGCTTATATATCTTAATTTGCTAATGAATCTTAATTCTTAAGTTAATAATTGAGTAAGCTCATGGAGGGTAAAACGACAATAAAATATCCGTAGAAATTTCCATATGCCATCATTAAATATATAAATTTAATAATAAAAAAGTGTTGCAATAACAATCTTAAATTGAAAGCTGGGCATTATTTTAAGAAGTAAGGGACTACAAATGATAAGGTTTCAAATTGACAACATTTCCCACTGAACCAGCTTTTAAATTCTTCCCTACATAATTTTATTTTTCCACTGAATCCAAGCAGCGTTTCTGATAGTTAAGTTCCGTCTTTTCATGCGATTAAAACGAAATTGTCAATTGTTTAAGGAATATTGGCAGAAGACGTTATCGTCCCTTCTTTCTTTCTTTCTTTCTTTCTTTTGTGGTAAGGTCAGTTACCCACCTTGCTATCATGAATGGACTGATTCATTCATGATAAGTACTCCGGGGTAATTGTAAAAGGGAGATAATACTCAGCTAGACAATGTCCCTGCAATAGTAATTACAGGGACTTACCTAGCTGAGTATTGAATACTATTATCACAACTGAGTCTGTCGATTTAAATTTTATGTCTTGCCTGACCCCGAATCACAAAACTTTCTTTCTCTCTTCCTTTTTCTCATCATCACTGATATGTCCTTTTCTTCTTTCCACGCAATCAAAACAGTATCGTCCATTATTCATGAGGTTTTGGCAGAATGTAGCGGTCGTGCTAACTAAGGGAATAACGTGTAGAATTAAAGATTTCAGATTTATATTTAAAATTAATAATCCAATCTAAAGATTATTATTTATTATATTATATATATATATATATATATATATATATATATATATATATATATATATATATATATATATATATATTACAGGTATGGGTGTCCATTATTTTGAAAAATTAAGAAACATTGCATTAAATACAAACTCAACGTTCTAGTAAAGTCAAGTACCTACAACGCAATTTGTATTTTGCTCTGTTAAGCCGTGTAACGATGATATGTATGCGATCAAACAAATCAAGGACATTACATACCCATCGAAACCTCTATACTTGCTATGTTAACTTTACTGAAGTATATATCATCAATTATACAAAGTTTATTTTGTCGTCCATTAGATACCGTTTTCCAAGCTCTGACTCGACTAAATATCAATATCCGATAGAGGAAATATATCGGTCAACAAGTCGTACTTGTTTGTTGACGACCCAAATATTGAAAGAATTCAAGCCTCATCAGGAGTACAAGAAGGAGAAAAAAACGAGCTCCAAGCTATCTAATCTCTTCCTAACCAAGTTTCAGCACATATACAAGCACAGATGTGAATAAATTGACATCGATTCTTTAATAATTGCATACCAGATTCCAATCAAGTCTCCTAATAGAAAACTGCCTTTTGTGTCCATTGCGAAGAACATGTTAGGATGGGCTATGCTGATGACACATACATTGAATTCATCGTTAAACTTCAGGATGTGTACTAAAGCTGTATATATCTCTGGGTATGGATCAGTTGAAACAAATTTAGTATAGGGAAATTTAACATAGAATAGGTGGTTTTCGGTGGTCTCACATAACACTTATGAACAAATCATGAATCTAAACATTCGAATAATTTTCTTAAATAGCCCTCGAGTCTTTTATATAGATGTCATGCA